CAGGGGATAGCGGAGTCTTCACATTGTCTTTCACTCTCCAATCAATCAATCAATCAATCAATCATAATAAAAACATAACTAACCCTTACAAACCAAACTATAGAAAATTAGTCTGATGCTCACTAGTGATGACTTGCTACAGGATGGAGTTTCCTCGAGTTCTAGTCAGAAGTCGTCGTGACCAGTGTGGTCCAATTAGATGCCACGTGTATGAGGATGGATGTCCCACTGGTGACAGTAGTTGGTGGTCGCACTAAATTACGATTTGGTAAAAGTTAGAATTCATGGGCTGGCCATTGGATCGGGTCCCAGTGACTGAATGGTATACGAGCTAGCTCGCTTTGTAACCGGAAGGTCCTAGGTTCGAATCCCAGTGGGTGCATACTGCCGATGATTCCCAAACTAGGATGAAACAGCAGCTGTTCGGTACTCCCTGGTTGGTTTTCAATGGTTCTCTAACTGATATCAATCCGTGATCAACTCGTAAAAACATAACTAACCCTTACAAACTAAACTATAGAAAATCATAATTTTCCATTGTAGTTTATATTGAAGAGACACTCCATGTTTTTTTTCAAATAATCCTTTGGAAACATTTTTTTAAAAAAAAACTTTCATATTTCATATGAAATGTGATCAAGATTCAACTGAATAGTTCCAAAATATAATTGATCGTCGAGTGAGAAGTAGACATTTTTAAAAAAGAAATTATATTTGTATGAATCTCAGCGAAATTGAAATGATTAATTCCAACGTTTCTTGTGTTCGGCAATCTGGTCCGAACTTCTTCAGGGCAATTAGTCGAAATTAACATAACAGAGGACATCTCTTGTTTTTAACTTCTTTGTCCAGTAGTCATATGAATCATGAAACAGGTATCAACATGTATAATAAACAAACAAAATTGTATAAGCTGTGATCAAAATTTGACCTCAGACTTTCGAAATTACTCTACTTTTGTTAAAATATATTTGTATATGCAGTATAAAGTGGTGTGTGTGTGTATGTGTGTGTGGGTGAACAGTCATAAAACATTTGTAAATTACGTGGTACTCAACAACGGTACAAAGATAGAAATTTGATAAGGTTAAAATTGCTCTTGAGTGAAAATAAAGGTGGTAGTTGAGTGTCAATTGAACAAGTGTGAAGAGGGTGTGAAATGTACAGGAGGAGCATATGAGAGTGATGATAGTGAATTAATTATTAAAGCACAAGAAAAATAAAAGTAAAATTAAAAAAGAAAAGAAAAATCAAACTTTTTTACAAGGAACGACTATTGAAGCGGTTAAGACCAAGGTAGAATAAGAGACTGGACAAACTTTTTCTGTATACAAAGTTCAAGGCTGTATTGACGAATTGCCAGCGAGCGCCTCCGCCATACACAAAAGCCGAAACTTGACGATCTTTGTACCATTTGGCTTCACTTTGTAGATGATCTTGAAAGACGCCTATGGTGAAGCTAAATGGCCTGAGTTCACCAAATGATCGAGAATTGAGCTAGTAATTGTCTTGCATTGTCCCTTTGCTAACCATGCCGGATAATGTTCAGAGATGCGTTAGGAAAGAGTGCGCTTTGTGCGGCCAATATAACTAGCTCCACACGAGAAGATGAATTTATAAACACACATTGAGGTGGCTCAAAGCAGTAGTTTATCCTTCACACATCCATTGATCTTTTGTCGGCTGCAGAAATTATTACGTAGCTCAGTCATAAAGAAAACATTCCTCAGGGATACTACCCGTAACTCGGGTTCAAAATAGTCGAAAAATATGCTCCTTCTGTACATTTCATACCCTCTTCACACTTGTTAAATTGACACTCAACTACCACCTTTATTCTCACTCAAGAGCAATTTTAACCTCATCAAACTTCTATCTTTGTACCATTGAGTACCACGTAATTTACAACTTTGAATTTTCACTTCCAAAGCCACTTATGAGTAATCACAAAACACTTGTTAGCCTTTGTATAAGAAGACGTAGACAATCAGGAATTATGACCAAATATGATTAATTGTTGATACATATCCAATTTTTATTTATTTATTAGTCAGGATTTGTCATGCATCAGCTAACATCACACCTTTACGTCTGTTCAAACTGTTGGGATTCACCCACATATATGTAGAACTTCTGCAGTCAGTCTTCCTTTATATGAACCAAAACCTTTCTGTAGAACCCTGATACTACCAAATTCGATCTTATGTCCCTTTTCTATTGAGTGTAATGTGTAATCGTCGATTTGTTTTCTAGCTTCATTAAGTCTGCAGAGGTCCTCGAAGGAACCACCTTTAGACATAGTTGATGCTCTTTCACCCTTCTTATATTTACCTGTCTGGAAGTTTCTCTAACATATACGGCGTTACAATCCCCACAGTTGATCTGGTATACACAATCAGCTGCTGGTTTTCTTGTTCTATTTTATCCTTAACCTTCACCAGTGGTGATGAGCGTAAGGTGTGTTAGTTGCACAAAAATACACTCTTACGCTGTCATGATCGTTAAGGATTGGCTTTATTTCATCGGATGTTTCTTTGCGGTAACTTTCATATTGTTTAAGTATCAGATTTTGTATAGACTCTTTTTCGCGGTCACATGGATATCCGATCAGGTTCCTTATTCCTCTTCCTGATTGGAACTTTTTGCGTGTATGCATACTGCCCTATTTGTGTTTTCTCCTTTACTCTCCGAGTGGAATATGAGAGAGAGAGAGAGAGAATTTGGAAGAGATCACTAGCTTCACTTATCTAGCCAAGAAGCATCTCGTTTCAATCACAGACAGCAGGGCTGGATGAAAGGAGATGTCAAAACCCGTCAGAATTGGAAGCGTAAGGGGTACACCCCCCCCTTATCTCAATCTCATATCACTTTGGAAATCTTCTGTACTCAACAAAATTTTGATTTTCAACACCAATGTGAAGTCGGTCAGTCAGTCAGTCAGTTACATCATCTAAACGGGTGAGAAACATGGCCAGTGTGCCTGTGTTAGGAAAAGCATTTCCAATAATATATGTGTAAAACTTCAGCACTGTGGTAGTAAGTAATTCCATATTAGTTTGTTTATTAGAAAAAAGTGAGTGAAACAGTATTATTATATACTAGATGACGAGGTTTCGAACACAATTCATCATTGTTCATATTCACACGACCTTGCAACTTGAGTTTTATAGTTTTCTTTGTTCTTTGAATTTAAATTTAAATTCTTGCTTACAGCTTGATTCCACGGCGTATTTTTTTGGTACAGATATGGAATTTTCAGCATGTGATATCGGTAGCCTAAATTTTGCAGGCCGACCATAGATATCAGGTGTGCTTCGTCGGCAAGGGATCAAACCCCGGACCATGTGCATGGTCGGTGAGAGTCATAACCACTGTGCCACCGACGCAGGGGTAGTAGAATTTTTTTTTTTGGTTACGCTTGACTTTCAAGATATCTGGCTGGACAGGTGTTGAATCATTCTTATTACATGTATTTCCAATTGATTCGATAAACAAAGCTTCTGTTATCAATCTCTCCCACACTACACCCTGTGAGATTAGATTTTAAAACTGTCATCCTATCTCATCCTATTGTATGTTTGTGTGTGTAACTGCATGTAGTGAGTGCTACAGCCGAACTATTCTCTAGATTTCTTATCTTATTTGGATCAACTAACCTAGATTTAGCTAGGTTTTTATGATCAGCCAGTCTGACTGCCCCTGTTCTACTAGTTTGACCTATGCATTTGACCTGACAACCATTGCAGGTAGGGTATTAGATAAACTAAATTGTTTTGTTTTATCGGCTCCTCTAACCGATAAAGCTTGTTTCTAATTGAGTTTGTGGGCTACTCTACACTGCAGACATTTTTCATCACCACCAGTTGCCAACTTCGCTGACTGGCTCCCTACTGAGGATCAAATAGCCGACCGAAAAGAATTAGCAGCAAGAAACTCTGCAGGAGAACAAAGAAAAACCAACAGACGACATACTATCGAGCGTCGGTGGCACAGTGGTTAGGACTCTCGCCGACCATGCATATGGTCCGGGGTTCGAGCCCACGCCGGCGCACACCTGATATCTATGGTCGGCCTGCAAAATTTGGGCTACCGATATCCATGCTGAAAATTCCATACTTGTACCGAAAATACAGTGTGGAATCAAGCTGTAAATCAAAAAAAAAATACTATTGCTCGACAAATATGTAGCAGAAAATGGAGATGGATTTGGCACACGGCACTGAAGAGACCACTGAATGACGTCACCCGCTAGCCAGGCCATAACTCGAGTGGCACTCAAATACGCTGGGTGACATGTAGAAGATCGTGTGGCATGCAGAAGATGAGAGACCCTGGGCAATCTCATAGGACCAGAGTAAAGAGGACGGCAGAGAATAAGACAGAGGGACGGAAAGATGTGCTGTTGAAGAGAGTTGTATGTTCCCCACTTGGAACCCAAGGGAACAATAATAAATAATAATTAACAACAGAAATAACCTAATCGGTGAATGATGACTAGCAGTGGAATCAATCCAGGAGAACGCGCATTTCGTCCTATTCGGAACTCATCAGCTTGCTGGATGTACCTGCATTTCCCAGTGAGTGAGTGATGATTTTTCCACAACCGTGGCTCGAACCCAGTGCCAATAGTTTCAAAAACACCAGTCGAAGCGTTATCCACTAGACCACTTGGGCTATGAGAGCCACTGCCTCTTGTGCAACGGGTCATGGGCACTCCACTGGGAAATGCAGGTACATCCGGATAGCTGACGAGTCCTGAATAGGACAAAATACGCGTTATCCTGGATTGATTCCACTGCTAGTCAACATCCACCAGCATCTGCACATGAAGTGCAGCCGACGGACATGTCAACCTGAGAATGAGCATTTCGGTCCAATCAATCCATTGACGGGAAAATCTAAAATTCAGTTAAACAATAATTAACTACAATGATAACACAAAAGGGCAAAGTGAATCGTAAAAATACAAAAAAAAAGAGAAGAGAAAGGCGGGAACTCACTTTCCACTTCTTGTAATGCTACTCTAAATATGGTGCTTTTATTTTCCATTGGAGGGGATACGTATTTCATGCATAATTTCATTGTTGGATTTGTTGAATCAAATAAATACCCACCGAGAGCTAATTCTTTTGTTTTATTAAACTAGGATTATGAAAGAAAGGCAAATAAATAAATAAATAAGATTAAAACAATTAGTCTCTTTGATAAATTTGAATAATTCTATGGAGGATTTCAACATGAGCTGACATCAGTTAGAGAACCACTGGAAAACCCACTTGGGAATACTGGACAGCTGTTTCGTCAGACTAGTTTAGGACTCTTCAGCAGTACACACCCACCGGGGGTCGAACTCAGGACCTTCTGGTTACAAGGCTAGCAAGCTCGTAGACCATTGAGCCACTGGAACCCGATTCAATGTTTCTTGAATTCTAACTTCTGCCAGTTCACGACATAACAAACAAAATCCCTACAAAACCAATTGTTGAAAATTTGAATAAGGCATTCAGTGGACAAATTTCACGAGATGGATATCTTCATTTCGTAGTTTTTTTTACAACCGCTTTACAACTAGAAACATGGTTAACAATAATTAAATTGAATTAAATTAAAGGCATGACAATTACTCAGTTAAATAAAAAAAACAAAAGTACATACTGATGATGACCAATTATATTTAGATAGGTCATGTTGTCCATGTTCCGAACTCGAATCGAATAACAAACTCGGTTTCCTGAAGAGATGATGGAACGATTCAGCGATCTGCTTTTCGTGTAAACAGATATTGGAGTGGACAATATCTTCATTTTACCAGTTTTCTTCCTATCCAATATAAACATTCCCTAGTGAGTGAAATGTTTGTTTTCAAGGGCCCGAAAAACATGCAAGAGTGACACATTGATGGATGAGGTTCGACACACACACACACATTCAGTTTTATTAGCTAATTGGTTGGTTATCCGGAAAACTTTATCACTTGTCACAGTAAACAAAGACCACATCTCGAAAAGACAGCTCTTCCGTACCAAAGAAAACTATCTTTATTAACAACCTACCATTCAATGGTCATAAAATTATGCAGTTGACAGCTAGCTTAAAGACTTCAGTCAGCCATCAAACGCACATTCTACGCCACCGCATCTCATTTGCCGAACATCCCTGTACCTACGATTAAAGGACGAAATTCTGTGGACTCTAGTTCATCAAACTGTATCAACAAGTTCACCTGCAGTTGTTGCGGTGACACCTATATAGGTAGAACTAACAGAATGTTCCGATGTCGTCCAAAAGAACATGTTCCAAAATGGCTACTAAATCATATCGAAAATCCTAACGTGATTAATCTTAATAGAAATCCATCAGAATCATCCATTGCAAAACACTTATTAATGTGTCAGGACACAAAATCAATATTAATGACTGTTTCACACTTATTTCATCACATAACTCTAATTCAAGGTTGGCTATTGAAAGTGATGGAAGCACTTTGGGGATTAACCACATACAGCCTAAACTGTGTGTACAAAAAACAATAGACTTCAATCTTCGCCTACCATGGACTACATGACCTTTTTCACAAATGTCTACTTCTCACTCGGCACCCAATTAAATTTTAGAACTATTCTGTTAAATCTTGACGACAGTTCATTTGAATTATTTTGCAATCGAATTACTTTAACAAAGAAACTATGTAATTGACACAATCATTATGTTTTCATTCTCTGTTGTCTGCAACAGAATAATGCATATCCTAAATCCGTAGCTGTCGAGTCACCTGACAACTCTCCAGTAGGTCGAATAAAGCAGCTCAATATTCAGAAAGAAGACAAAGTAATAACTTTGACAGGGTACTTCAACTAAACTCTAATCTTAAACACCATAATCTAATCCATAAACACCATAATTCTCTAGTGAGAAGTCGTGAGCAGTGGGGTCCAACAATAGGTCAGGAGTGAAAAAAAAATACTCGCCAGTGATGATGGGCGCGATGAAATCACGAATTGATGGAAATTAGAATTCATGAATTGGCCATTGTGTCGGGGGTCCCAGTGACTTGACACTCTACGAGCTCGCCTTGTAACCAGAAGTTGTTGAATTGGAATCCCGATGTGTGGGTACGTACTGCCGATGACTGAGTTCTAAACTAGGCTGTCCAGTACTCCCTGCCTGGTTTTCCAATGGTTCTCTTCTCTAACTGAGATATTAGTCCATGACCAAGCTTTAGATAAAGTAAAATAAAGGGGAAATTCTCACCTGAGTGATTGCATAACCAACGTGCTCATAAAATGCATCAATTGTATATACAGCGTAAACACCAGTTGCTGGAGGATAATCTAATGTCTCATACTGGGGATCCCATTGATGTAAATACAGATGACAGAAAGCTTTATGCGATAATTCACCAAATGATACATGCGCGGCACGATTAAATCCAAATTGAATTAACTGTAGAAAAGACAGAAATATATATATGCATATTAATATATATATATACTAGGCTATAAATTACAACAGTAGTCGCATACACTAGAGGAAGAATAGACAAGAAGAGATGATGGAACGGTGTAAAGATTTGTCTATTTATCTATCTATCTATCCACAAACCACAGAAAATCATTATGGAATGGCCAACTTTACCGGTGTCCAACAATCATTATATGTCTTTGTTATGTACTCGTCGCTAATTTATTGTTATGGACTGGTCGAGAATTTAATAGTCCTGACGCAAGAAGGCGGAAATCAGAAGACCACTAGGTTTGCGATGATACGTCTATTTTCCAAACACAAGGAGAATGCAAAAAGTGGTATCACACCAAAGTGGTAAGTGTAAGTCACAAGATTGTGAGAACAAAATATATATATGACAAGGGTGTGAACAATCATTAGACAGTCTTAACATGAATGGCTAATTATAATGAAGTATCGATCCATATATACATAGCGAAATATAGCAGACATGTCAACAACCACCATATATGGATATATGTCACCAAGCAACGGACTGTCAACAAACACTCACATTATATATAATATAATATAAGGAGAATATACATTGATAAAGGAGACAAGTTCATACAAGTGAAATGGTCACAGACTAAGCGAGCAAACAGAAAGAGAGACCAACATACACACACACATAAATATATAAATGGATACATATCAGCCTTGACCTGAAAGCTGCATTCAATTCCATCAACCAAGAGGTACTATGACGATGTTTGGCTGTGAAGGGAACGTCGAGAAAATACACCTCAATGATCAAAGCACTCTGCTCAAACTCAGCTAGATGAGAGCCCTTGCAGAGTTGTCATCTGAAGTGATGACAACCAGGTGGCGTGCGTGTCAGGGATGCCTAATGTCCCTATTCCCGTTTAATTTCATCATCGTTATAATAATGGACTTAACCCTAGTTGACTTTAGCGACTTAGACATTGACTTGTTACCATCAAGATATGCGAACGATGACATAATTCTTCCAGGTGAAGTCACTGACACAAAATGCAGAATCTCTTGAACACTTTGAAGAGTAGTAATCTTCTAATGTTTCGCATGCAATTCGCTCCTATCAAATATAAGAGGGGACTACATTGACTCCAAGCTTAAATAAAGAGGGGAGTGAAGTGGTAGAGTGTGTTGATAATTTCTCTTATTTGGGAAGTTGCATGAGCTCCAACGACTCGATCGCTGACGAAATCTCAGCACGAATACAAAAGACTCTTTTGGCATTTGCCTGTCAACTTACGTTATCTCTGACTTAGAAGACATGATATCCAGATGGCTGTCGACCAAAGGATGTTTGTACTGCACAACAATTCCCTCTGTCATCCTTTATGGGCTATGAGACCTGGCCATCATAAGTGGAAGATACGAAAAGGCTAACTAGCTGTCCTATCTCCCGTGTTAGGCGGTGGATGTGATAGGGTGAGTAATATTGAGGTTAGGTGACAATGGAGTGCTGGTTAAGTGAGAGGGAAAATCAATAGACGAGGTTGTGAAGTTACACTGATTGAGATGGTTAAAAGGTGTGTTACACATGCATGTCTAGCCATCCATCGCCTTCCTCAATAATGGGCAATGTTAGCCGCTAACATAGAATGGATGAATGGATAGATTAGGTGGGAAAAGAGCCTGCTAGTGGTGGTGGTGGTCAAAGCAAAATATGGCTTCATCAGTCAATGAAATCTACAACAGTTAGCTTAAAAAAGCAGACATGTACGGTAGGTGTAGACTTCCTGACTGACTGACTGGTTGGAATCCTCGGAATGGTAAGAGCCAATGACGGCTGGAGACAATTAGTGATATGGTTGACTGGCACAGATGCATTCACTCTTTGTGATTTATCATACCCAGTAGAATTTATTCACACTTCTGTTTATTATCCTTCTTTTGAAACTCTCTCTCTCTCCTGTCTTCTCTAGCTTTGTGTGCCATGTGGAGGGAGTTTGGCAACTCGAACTGTTGGAAATCTGTGCAAAGTTCTACGTTGAAAACAGTCAGTTAGTCAGCAATAGTCAAGTAACAAAATTCTAGTTATTGGATACCTACTTGTGAGTCGTAATAAAAGAAGAGCTCTCATCATTTCACTCGCTCACGCTGTATGTCAAAAGAATGTGCAGCACTGGCTGCTTTAGGAGAAGAGCTATTACTCCTATATATATATATATATATATATATATATATATATATATATATATATATATCGGCTAGAAATGAACGCCAGATAAGTTTTGTCGAGATGGACATGAAACCAAAACTAAAAATGGATAAAAAATGAAGTTTAGTGCCAAAGAAAATACTTATATATATATGAAGCTGGACTTCCAGAAAGACTAAGTTAAAGATATCTTAAAGAGGCGAATCTCCAGTTTTCTAAAGGAGATCTTCCCTTCAGCGATGCTAAGCGAACTATTCTGTAGCTGGCCAGTGCTACAAAGCAATGATCAGTCCAATGCGCATATATTATCAATTCACCTACTCGTGTGGCGGTAGGGCACGTTGACCGCTCCACTTATTTGGGAAGTACCATCAGTCCCAACGGGTTGATCTCCGACATAATCTCAGTACGGATACAGAGGGTTAGTTTTGCACAGGCCAGTTTACGCCGTATCTGGCACAGTAGACGTGATATCCGACTGGCTATCAACCAAAGGGCGGATGTACTGCTCACCAGTCCGCTCCGTCCTCCTTTATGGCTGGCTGTGAGTGAGACCTGGCCATTGAGAGTGGAAGCCATGAAAAGGCTAGCCAGCTGTCTTCGATCATAGGTGCCTGCATTCTATCTCCCGTGTGAGGTGGTATAATAAGGTGACCAATATTGAGGTTAGGTGCCGAGTGCTAGGTAGGTGGGAAGGGGAAATCAATCGACGAGGCTATGAAACTACATCGACTGAGATGGTTAGGACAAGTGTTACGTATGCACTAGTCATCGCCTTCCTCGACTGACGGCCAATGTTAGCTGACATAGGGTCAGGCTGGAAAAGAGATAACTAGTGGTGGTCAAACCGAAATATGGCCTTCCCAGTCAATGAAATCCACAACAGTCAGTTTAAGCCAGCCAGTCACGTAGGAAGGTGTAGACTTCCTGACTGGTCGGGGTTCTCGGGACAGTAAAACCCAATGAAGGCTGGAAGCAATTGGTGATATGGCTCAAAGTGATCGTTGTCAATGGCTGACTGGCACAGATGCATCCATTCCTTGTGACTTATGATTTCTAATGAAACTGTTTTGTTCTTCGTTATTACTATTCCTTTGTCTCACACCTCTGTTTACTGTCTCTCTCTATTATGCATTTCTTCTACTTTCTTCTCTTGGTTTGTGTGCTACATGGAGGGAGTGTGGCGACTTGAACTGATTCATATCCATGCAAAGTTCTATGTCGAAAACAGACAGACAGACAGACCTACTCGTGTGAAACTAGGTATATAAGTCGTTCTATGAGCGTCTTTTTGAAATGTGTTAGAGAATGCTAACTATCCATTAGGGTTGAAAAGACGCGGTACTGATTCAATGATAATAAGTAATACCTGGAGAGGGTAATATGACTGTAAATGCAAATGCATATTCACTTTTAGTGATCTCCTACATTCACATGGTTTTTTTTACACATGTTAACTATATTCCTTCTCGTATACATGTTTAGCTCATTTTGTTCTTAAAAATCTCTTTTTACTCACCTTTCTTTAACTTTGTATGCTACAGAAGTATGATAACGTAAACTATGTGTAAACTACTTCTGTGTAGAGTTCTATGTTCAACCTCAATCATTAATTCATAAAAGTGAATGTTATTTTCAATATTTTACACTGCTTTTATGTATCCAATTACATCCCTAAATCGTGATTAGTAATCACGGCCATTTTGAAATAGTTTTAAATCTACTACTATGGATTTGCTGGAGGATTTCACCATGAACTGACATCAGCTAGATAACCATTCGTAAAACTAACCAGAGAGTACTGGACAGCTGTTCTCTCCGTCCTAATTTGGGACTCCACTTTAGTAGTACCCACCCATCGCACTAGGGTTCAAACCGACGACCTTCGGTTACAAGGCAAGCGATCTCATAGACCATTAAAGCCACTGACTGGGACCCGATCCAATGGTCAGTCTTTTAACTTCTGCCAATTCACTTCTCAATATCTTCTTCAATGAGTTACTGCCTCACTTTCAACCTGCTGTACCCTACTGGTCACGCCTTCCCACTAGAACCCCAGGTTAACTGCCTGAAAACAGCCAGTCACTAGTGAGCATCAGATCAATTTGGTTTGTAGGGATGCTCGCCAGTGACTGGCCCTCTTCAGACAGTTACCTGTGGTTCTTAGCGGGAAGCCGTGACCAGTAGGGTACAGCAGGTTGAAGGTGAGGCAGTAACTCATTGAAGTAGACATTGAGAAATGGTTGCACTATGTCGTGAATTGGCAGAAGTTAGAATTCATGGACTGGCCATTGGATGGGGGTCCCAGTGGCTTAATGATATACACGCTAGCTCACCTTGTAAGCACAAGGTTGTGGGTTCAAACCCTAGTGCAATGGGTGCGTACTACTGAAGAGTCCCAAAGATAGAGGACGAAGCAGCTGGACAATGGTTCTCTTTTTGATGTCAGCTCATGATGAAATCCTTCAGCCAATCAAAAAAATCCTTACAAAACCAATACTATGGATTTGTCGAAGGAAATTGGAGAAAAGTTTATTTTGGATAGAATGGTATTACTTCACAAGGATTAAATACTTTCCAACATAACATGTTTAGAATAATTTATTATTTAAGTTTGTTCATGGATTGATATCAGTTAGAGAACCATTAGAAAACCAGGGAGTAGTCGACAACTGTTTCGTCAGCCTATTTCCGGACTCATCGGCAGTACTCACACACACACACACAAGAGTGATTCGAACCCCAGGATGTTTAAGTTATAAGGCAAGATCGTAGAAAATTCTGCTACCGGGAACCAATTCAATGGCCAGCCCATGAATTCTTACTCCTACCGGTTCGTGACTTTAACGCAACCACCACTCGGGAATCAGGCAAAATACTCGTCGACGACACTGGCTGATGGTCACAGTAAAGTCACAAATTGATAGAAGTTAGAATTCATGGGCTGGTCATTGAGTTGGGTTCCAGTGGCTTAATGGTCTACAAGCTAGCTTGCCTTGTAGCTGGAAGGTCCTGGGTTCGACCCTCGATGTGTGAGTGAGTGAGTGCGTGCTACCGATGAGTCCCAGAGTAGGATGAAAGAGCTGTCCAGTACTCTCTGGCCGGTTTTCTAGCGGTTCTCTAACTGATATTAGCTCATGATCAATCAAATTTGTGTATATGAACACTCCCTGATAACATGAAAGACATCAAATACCTTCAGACATCCTACCGAATACTAACAGAGAGAGAGAGAGAGAAACACTAGACTGTGATTAATGGCAGTAACGAAAAAAAAACAAAGAAAGAACAACAGTGTAAAGGCTTACCTGAATCGTTACCAACAGCACCTTAAGTATCTGGATAAATAATTTAAACGGAATACGTCGTTTTGCCTGAAATTTACCAATCGGTGTCATAAAATGATAGTAAAGTCGTCGACGCATCCAGTTCTCCACTTCAGTTGGATTGATACATGTAGATGCCGTTGAAGTTGTACTACTTTCGCCGCCTACTGAAGCGCCAGTAGGATAAACATTATTATTATTATTACTATTATTATCATTATTATTGTTATATTGATGATTAGAGATAAGCGGTCGTTCTTCACATGAAGAATCACTTTGTAAACAATCTTCACTTGTAGCAATAATTGTCGACTCATGAATTTTATGTCCTGATTTATGATCGAAATATTTAATCATACGAAAAACTGCCTTTTCTACTAGACTTTGTGATCCGTGTTTAGTTGTACTACCAATACTACTACTATTATTATTGTTGTTATTAGTAGTATTAGTATCATTATTATGAGAATGACATTTCACATGAGATGATATATATGATGGAGGTAAATGTAAGCAGGTCGGCGGAGGAGGAGGAGGTAATGGTACAGTTGGTGGTGCCTGATGATCAGGAGAATGTATTCTCCTGATGACGTTAATATTTTCATCACAATGTTGACAGCCTTGACTCCAATCAGGTTGTAAATGATAATTTCTATAGTTGTATGTTGTACATGAACTGCTTTGATGATTGACACTGTCTGGAGTTTTATCTCGTTTATAACGTTTAGACATAATAGATGTCTTGGCTTCTTTTGTTTTGTTCTGTTTTTAATAAAAAAAGGACACGGTTTAACTCATCCTGGATACACCTAAAGAGGAGGGGGGAATATAAGAGAAAAATATACACGGAATTAATTATTCGTAGGACTTGTTAATCAAATCGACAAAATAGTTACCTTGAAATGTTCATCACGAAAACACAAGATCAAGAAGACGATTCTTCTGTATCCACTAACAAGAAGCCTCAATATATATATATATATATATATATATATATATATATCCTACAAAACATGACTTATCATCCGTACCCATGAAAATACCTCACATGAGCTTGGAATTTAAAGGGAACTTAGCCTCCAATATCATCAAAACGAAGGATATCAGTCCCTGAAGAGAACATTCCCTGCTGCATCTCTGAGAATAGCCTTTACTAGTCGACCATTAGTGTTGTTCAATAACCTGAAAGACAAGATTCCACTGTTAACCAACTCTGTGTGTTTATCGAATTGCCTGCTCGTATGGAACTAATTATATCCGTCGTTCAACTGGAGTTTTCTCCAAGAGGGTGCAAGAACACTATCCTGCATGGTAGTTACGAAGAGGTGGAAGTGGAGCGAGCAACAAAAAGCGCGATCATTGAACACCTGGTCGATAATGATCACCGTATCTCTCTACAGCCTCCGCCTTTAAATTTATCTACAAGGCAAAGAGTAATTTACCCAAATCACTACGTACCCGACTCATCTGTATTGCTGAAACAGCTTTGGCTATCGAAACAGAAAAGTCAGATCTCTGTGCACAGAAAACGGTCGTTCAACCCCTCCAACTTTCATGTTCTTAATCCCTCTATGCTAAAGTATGGTAATCCCCAATCATACTGAGGCTCTGACAATTTTTCATTTTTTCATTTTGTCTATTCAATTTGTATACTCTTCCTTTATTACGTCAATTGTTACTATTACTACTCTCATTTTGAACTGTCCCCGGTATTATTTCACTTGTTCCACTTGTCATTTTAAATCAATTCTGTTTCTCAATGTTAAATTTTATGTTATTAAATTTCACACAATATTACATAACGTTTTTATTTTATTCGATTTGTCTACTAATCCCATAATTGCAAACCTTTTTCAAGTCCTATCCATCCTATGTATTATTCTATATATGACATTAATTGTTTTGCCACTTGACCTTTAACTATGATCATAATCACAAACATTTTAATTGCATTTCATACTACTATTATCTGTCTGTCTGTCTATCTGGATTCAACATAGAACTTGGCACCGAAGTACAGCATTTCGAGTTGCCAAGTTCCAAATAGCACACAAACGCAGACAAGATGAGTGAAGAGAATCAATAGGGTTTTGACAAGTATAAGACTGAAACAGAATAGGTAATGGTAGAAAGGAATATGAAAGATTACAGAGACTGAATACATTGACAACGCATTGACAACGATTTTGGGCCATGTCACCTATTGTCTCCACCATTGATTCCTAGAGTCCCAAGGGCCCCAACCCGGAAGTCTGCATCTCCCTACCTGACTCAGTTTAACTGTCAATGATTTCATGGACTGATGCCTTGTTTTTGTTTGGTCACCACTTACTCTTTTCCAACCTGTACCTACATCAGCTAGTAATGGCCGTCGACGGGGGAGGCGATGTTTAGGCATGCGCAGCACGTGACCCAGCCATCTCAATCTATGTAACTTTATAGCCTCGTCGATTGACTTTCCCTCTTTGCCCAACACTATGCCTAACGTCAACATTACTTACCTTATTATACCAACTAACGTGAGAAAGAGATCGTAGACATCTATGATCAAAAACAGTCAACCTTTTCATGTCTTCAACTCGTATTGGTCATGTTTCAGAGCCATAGAGAAGGACGGAGCGAACTGATGAGCAGTACACACGTCTCTTGGTTGATAGCCGGATGTCACGCCTACGCCAAAAGTAGCTGAGGTGTTCTTTTGTTTTGCTAGCCTCATATGTCCAACCTTCTCTTTTTTTATCAGGCTTACCATAGACTAAGCGACGTTTAGGAGTACTTCGGTAGTGAGGAATCGAACTTGGATCACTTAGGTAGCGTGGTTGGTTAATTATTTTACCAGTGAAGCAACAACAAACTTCACTACCATCAGCCAACGCCAACGGGTTGATCTCTGACGAAATCTCAGTACGGATACGAAAGCCCAATTTCGCATATGCCAGTTTACGCCATCTCTGGTACAGTAGACCTCATATCCGACTGGTTGTCGACCAAAGAGTGGGTGTACTGCACAGCAGCAGTTCGCTCTGTCTTGCTTTATGGATGTGAGTGAAACCTGGCCATTGAGAATGGAAGACATGAAAAGGCTAGCCAGCTGTCTTCGATCATAGGTGCTGGCGTTCTATCTCCCTTGTGAAGTAGTATAATAAGGTGACCAATGTTGAGGTTAGGCCTCGGTGAAGTGCTAGGTAGGTGGGAAGGGGAATCAATCGACGAGGTTGTGAAATTACATCGACTGAGATGGTTAGGACATGTGTTACGTATGCATGACTAGTCATCGCCTTCCTCGAAAATGGGTGCAAAGTTAGCTGACATAGGGTCAGGCTGGAAAAGTTAGCTGGTGGCGGTAAATCCGAAACATAACCTCCCCAGTCAATGAAATCCACAACAGTTAGTTTAAGTCAGTCACGTAGGAAGGTGTAGACATCCTGACTGGTCGGGGTTCTCGGGACAGTAAAACCCAATGAAGGCTGGAAACAATTAGTGATATGGCTCAAAGTGATCGTTGTCAATGGCTGGCTGGCACAGATCCATCCATTCCTTGTGACTTATGATTTCTAATGAAACTGTTTTGTTCTTCGTTATTACTATTCCTTTGTCTCACACCTCTGTTTACTGTCTCTCTCTATTATGCATTTCTTCTACTTTCTTCTCTTGGTTTGTGTGCTACATGGAGTGGAGTGTGGCGACTTGAACTGCTTCACATCAGTGCAAAGTTCTATGTCGAAAACAGACAGACAGATAACGTATTTCATTATTAAGGTTCAACAACTTTATTCGCAAATATCTTTTGTTAAAATCATATAGACAGTTTATTAGTCAGGGTGCTTTTGATGACTTCATATTCTCTAAACCTAGACAGATCGACATTTCAAAGTGGAACATACCGCTTCAGGTCATTTCGAAGTTTCAGCAGCGATAGCGTCCCTATCGTCATGCCCAACTATTCCTCCTTTATCGGTTAGTAGACTTGTCGAGGTTTAAGTGTGCATCAACTAGGAATCGAACCTGAGTCGCTTGTGGTGTGAATGGCGAGCATCCCATCATTGGACTACTGACGTAGGATACTCACTAGTGAAATTTAGAAATATGTCTATCTTCCTACATAGATGGATTTAAAACGGGTTTTTTGGTGGGGATGGCATAGTAAAATAGAAGTCTACCTACAAATTATTATATTTATTATTATTATTGTTCCATTGGGTTCCTAGTGGAACATAGGGCTTCAACTGCACGTCTCCACTTGCCACTTCTGTCTTCCTTCTGCTGTACTTTTCACCTGAATCCATGTTAGTTAGTCCATACTCTTTCAACTCCTCTTCACACGATCTCCTCCATGTCACCCTTGAACGACGTCCCACTCGCCGCTTCTTTTTCGGCCTGGTTCCACTCGAGCAATGGCCTGACGCGCGCGCGATGTCACCCAGCGGCCTCCTCAGCGAGTGAGTGTCCAATCCATCTCCACTTTCTCCTGCATATTTGTTGGGCGCGATTGGTTCTTGTTTTGTTTGTTTGTTCCCATAGTTTCTTGTTGGTGTTGATTCTTTCCAGCCCGGCCATCTGATCTTCAGTATAGAGCCAGCGAAGACAGTTGTTGATAAAGGTCTGCAACAGGCTGTTGATTGGAAATATTCTTTGTGACCCGCCCGTCCGCCCGCCAAGTTTCTTATTTATTTTTTTTTTAATTTTTATTGTTGTAACAGCTTGATTCCACACTGTATTTTTGGTACAAGTATGGAATTTTAGCGTGGATATCGTAGCCCAAATTTCGCAGCCGACCATAGATATCTGTGTGCGCCGGTGTAGGCTCGAACCCGGACCATGTGCATGGTCGTCGAGAGTCCTAACACTGGCCACCGACGCAGTATAGAAGTGACTGACTTGACGTTTGTTTGTATTGAAAATCCGACGGAATTTTGTTGTTGATGCTGGCTGAGTGACGAAGATTTCGAGATTGGTTTCAGGTTGATGAATGTGTTTCTCGCTCGCCATCCCGATTCTCGCTCGATTTGACATCCTCGTCCGTTCTGACTGCGTGTAGTTGAGACAATGCTCCCTAGATAAGTGAGTGAATGAAGTCTGTCTGTCTCTGTCTGTCTGTTTTCGACATAGAACTTTGCACAAATGTGCGCCAGTTCAAGTCGCCACATTCCGTGTAGCACGCGAAGCAAGAGAAGAAAGTACAAGAAAAGCATAATAGAAATAGTAAGCAGAGGTGTGAGACAAAGGAGTAATAAAGAATAACAAAACAGTTTCATTGGAGATCATAAGTCACAGGGAGTGGATGCATCTGCGCCACTGAGAACGATTTTGAGCCATGTCACCAATTGTTTCCAACCATAGAGTTTTACCGTCCCGAGGACCCCAACCAGGAAGTCTACACCTTCCGACGTGGCTTAGACCAACTGTTGTGGATTTCATTGACTGATGCCATGTTTTTGTTTGACCGCCACTAGCCCTTTTCCAGCCTCACCCTATATCCGCTAACATTGCTCGTCGAGGGAGGCGATGACTTGGCATACGTAACACATGTCCTAACCATCTCAGTCGATGTAGCTTCACGACTTCGTCGATTGATTTCCCCTGTTTACCTAGAACTCTACGCCTAACCTCCATGTTGCTCACCTTATTATGCCACTTTACACGGGAAATAGAACGCACGCACCTATGATCAAAGACAGCTAGTCTTTTCATGTCTTCCACTCTCAGTGGCCAGGTCTCACAACCATAAAGGA